GGGTTTCCAAGGAGCTGCTGGTGGATTCGAAATGCCAACCTTTTGGTTAGTAGCCAAGCTCTTAGCCACTGTGCCACCAGGGCTCCCAAATGTTCCCTGGGGGCAAAATTGCCCACAGGTGAGAACCACAACCACCAGTGCAGACGTTGCTTATTTCAGGAAATCTTTTTCTCTATGTCCTCTACTAGTCCCAACCTGCTGCCCCAGCTCTGGGCCCTGAAGGCCCCTGTATATTCTCTTGCCTGTGCATGTCAGCCTATGGAATGGGCTTCTCGGGGCCAGGGCTGCATTTGTCTTGCTTACCCCCAGAATCCAGCACAAGCCTGGTACACTTGGTGCTCCATAAGTATTGCTGAATTGAACTGAGCTTGCTCAGTAACAAAAACTACAGTCCTAACCACACGTCCAAGAGCTTGGCTGCTAACTGAAAAGTTGGAGGTTCGAATCCACCTTTTGGCCCCACAGGAGAAAGACCTGGTAATCTGCTCCCATAAATATTACAGCCTAGAAAACCCTATGGGGCAGCTCTACTCTGACACGTGGGGTCACTATGAGTTGAAATCAACTTGATGGCACACAACACCACCACCACCAACCACATGTCCATGATGATTGAAATGGGACTGTCATGGGGTGTTTAAAGCATAAAAGCTTTGGTTCAGACAAGCCGGGTCTCTGGGTGGTATGGTTATGGGGAAGAATTGATTTTTTGTCCTTTCTAGTTCTAAGGCCCTGGGATGATGCTGGCTCCTTGCCCCATGTGGAAAAGGTGGTAGTGGAAGCCCCCGGGAGGGCAATGCCCTCCTCGCTGGCCCGTTCTTAGAGCCCATCTGTGGTCCCACTATCACCTTCACCTTGGCTCAGCATCTGGTGCACAGATATCCTGAAGAGCAATGTGTCTCCTCCAAAACCCACTCCACCTGGTCCTCAACCTCCACTAAGTGATCCTTGAACTAGAGGACCTCAGAAGTCCTTCCACTGTAATTCTGATTCTAAGGTCTGTGACGGCAAATCCTTCGATCCTGTAACTCTAGAAAGCCTTCTATGGATCTTCCCACTATTGTTACCTTGCTGTTGTTGTTGTTAGCGCCAACAGTTGACTCCGACTCACGGAGATGTTGCCCAGGCCGTGTCATCCTCACAACTGCCAGCATGTTCGAGTCCATCATTGTGGCCATTGTGCCAGTCCGTCTCCCTGAAGGTCTCCCTCACCCTCACAGGCCCTCTACTACACCAAACATGCCCGCGGTTGATCCCTCTTGATGATGCATCCAAGCAAGCAATTTCAACAATTCTGTTGTGATCCATAAGGTCTTCATTGGATACTTTTCAGATGTAGATAGCCAGGCCTTTCTTCCTAGTCTGTCTTAGTCTGGAAGCTCCACTGAAACCTGTCCACCATGGGTGACCCTGCTGGTATTTGAACTACCAGTGGTACAGCTTCCAGCATCATAGCAACACAGAAGTCACCACAGTATGGCACACTGACAGATGGGTGATGGACTGTTACTTTACTTGATACTTTTTTAGCCAAAATTTTTTTTTAAAGAGCCAGTTTGCTTGTCATGTAATAAACCCAAGTTTATTGACAAATGGAAGCCATAGCCCTAGAGGGTCTTCCCATTGTTTTCTGATCTTTTTTTTCCTTCTTGTGCATCGTAGCCAGCTGGATGTGGATTTGGGTTCAAATTCTGACTTTGAAGCTTCATGAATGTGTGATCTTGACAAGTTGTCTTTATTTCATTTATTACAGTAATTAACTTTGTTATTTGACTCTTATTTATTGAGCAGCTACTATGTGCCAGGCACTGTACATGCTGGAGATACAGTAGTGAATCAAACAGTAAACAACAACAACAACCTTTCTGTTGTCATGGAAGGGTGATATTCTAAGTGTCTGTGTGGGGGATTGAAGTACCTTAACAAATACAATGATATGCAATATGTCAGATGGTGGTGAATGCTATGGACCGCATAAAGCAAGGTAGGAGGGTGGAGACTGACAAGGATGTTAATTTAGATTAGGAGGTGCCTCAGAGGAGGAGGCGCTCTGTGACCAAAAATTTGAAGGAAGTGAGGTGATGAACTATGCAGGTATTTGGGAGTAGAGCATTTCAGGGAGTGGAGACAGACCGTGCAAAGGCCCTGAGGTGTGAGTTTGAGTTTGCATCCTCCTAGGTTCAAGGCAACCTATCATTTTGTGTGTGTGTGCGTGTGTGTGTGTGTGTGTGAAAATATACATAATAAAACATATACCACCTCAACAATTTCTACGTGGGCAGTTTAGTGACATTGGTTACACTCTTCAAGTTGTGCTACCTTTCTTGACAACCTTTTCCAAATTATTTTACCATCATTAACATAAACTCATTGCTCCCCTAAACTTCTTATCTATCCTTTCAAGCTGCCATTATCAATTTGATCACATAGAGATAATACTTCAAAAGAGTGTGTTCTGTTGTACATAGGGTCACTGTGAGTCGGAACCAACTTGACGGCACCTAACAACAAAAACAACAAACTATTATTTAGTTCAAAGATGACTTCAGGGGATAGTTTCAGCTTAAGGTTTAAAGATTTCCTTAGGGTAATAGTTTCAGGGAATCATCTGGCCTCAGTGTCTCCAGAAAATCTGGATTCTATGAGAATTTGAAATTCTGTTCCTCATTTTACCCTTTTGATTAAGGTTATGCTATAGAATCCTTGATCTAAATGTTCGGTATTGGTAGCCAGGCACCATCCAGTTCTTTGGTCTTGTGGCAAAGGAGGCAATTTGTTCATGGAGGTGATTGGACATGTATTCCCTTTCCTCCAGGGATTCTTGACCCTCCTTCTTCCTCTTGTGCTCCCAGCAAATAGACACCAATTGAGCAACCCATCATTTTCAGAGGAGGAATCTGAAGTGCAAAGAGGCTAGGTGATGGGCCCAGAGTTGCACAGGAGTTAGAGGTAGGGCATGGTGGAAAGGAGCCAGGAGTCCTTCCTCCCAGCTGATGCTCATATCTGGGGTTGCTGAGATGAACAGGAGAAAGTCTGATCCCCACAGGGGCTCTCTTCTCGATGCTAAGGCCAGTGGTGTGGCTTTGGGGAAAAATTTCTGCTTTAATTGTACAAGGCTCCCAGATTGGCCGCGCCATTGCGTGCTTAGTGACAGAAATAAAACTCAATCTGGTGTCAAGCTGAAGGTTAATTGAATATTTGATGCCTGCAGGGGATGAAAACAGGATTCCCATTTTCCTGTTTCATCATCCAGGCCTCCGACACCAAGGGAAGACTTGGGCCAGTCTTGCTTAAACAAAGCTATCTGTCTGGGAGGCTCCCTGCGAGGAGAAGTGAGGCGATAATAGACAAGTCCTGGTGGTGTCATGGGGCCAAGTGGAATCGATCCTTTGCAAGAGGAACAAAGAACTCAGGAGTCTGTTTCACCTTCTCCCAGTTAAAGACTGAGCTGGTTTGCCCCAGTAACCTCTGGGGGGGGGGGATGCTCATAAGCCAGGACCATACATTTATATGTATTATGAAGGTGTCAAGGAGTCCCTAGGTGGCACAAACAGCTAAGCAGGGGATACTAACTGAAAGGTCGGAGGTTTGAACCCATCCAGAGGTACCATGGAAGAAAGGTTTGGCAATCTACTTCTGAAAGGTCACAGCCTTGAAAACCCGATGGAGCACAGTTCTACTCTACAACACACGGGGTCACCATGAGTCAGAGTTAACTTGATGGCAATTGGCATGAGGGCAACGGGGAGCCACAGAAGGCTTCCTAGAGGAAGCAGCTTCAGAATAGAGTTTTCTATCTGAAGCTTTGGCTAAAAGGATGCCAGAGTTTTCCTTTGGCCCTTTCTCTCTGTAACCGCTACCCAATCATTATGCTCCAGCCATACTAAATTTACGAGAAGTCACTAAATGGGCCACTCTCGAGTGACCTCCGTGTCTTGGCTTCTTCATCCGGACAATGGGGATAATTACTCTACATGGGAGGGTTACTTGTGATAATCACCTGAGATGCAATGCTTAGAGCAACCACTGCTGTATGTGGCTCAGCTCCCTGGGAGTGCCACCCTCCTGGGAAGTTAGAGGGGGCAGTTCTGAATGGAGCATCTAATAGTTACCCCTACTGAGTACAGGAAATGCAGTCACACAAGCCAGGTAAGTCCATTCCTTAAAGCATTTCTTAATTCAGCAATCATTTCCTGAGGACCTACTATGTGCCAGGTTCTGTATTAGACCCTGGAAGAAGGGTCTAGTTGAGGAAGGCAGGCAGGAAAATAAACTACTGCAGTACAGTGAGTGCTGTGTTATAGCATCCTCCTCTCCTTGGCCACCCTGGCCATTCAGTCCTTTGACAATGATAGGCTCGCTCTTGCCACAGGGCCTTCGCATATTTTGTTCTTTTTGGATGCATTCACTCTAACTCATCCTTTAGCTCTTAGCTTTAGCATTAGATTTTTAAGGAAGCCTTTTCTGACGTTCTACTTTATTTCCGATCCCCAGTGTAGAATTTTATAGCACTATGTACCTTTCCTTGCATCACTTATAGAATACTGCAATTATTTGTACATTGTCTCATTTAACATCTGTTTCCTTATTAGACTGAACTTCTTGAGGCTAGGAACTGCGTGTGTGTGTATATTTTTTTCCTCACCATTGTGTCTCCACTTCTTTGCACAGTCCCTGGCACATCCACATCCCAAATCCAAGTCATAGCGACCCTATAGGAAAGAGTAGAACTACCCCATAGGGTTTCCAAGGCTGTAAATCTTTACAGAAGCAGACTGCCACATCTTTCCCCTGTGGAGCAGATGGTAAGTTCAAACCACTGATCTTCAGTTAGCAGGCGAGCAGTCTAACCACTGCACCACCAGGGCTCCTTCCCTGACACATAGGAGATGTTTAATTAATGTTGGTTGAAAGGACAAAGAAGGAGCAACTTCTTCCCCAATCTGGTTGGATGCTCAGGTTTTTCAGGCCCCCAGAGCCCACCCATCATAAACACTCACAGTTGGATATCCAAGAAGATCCGTTTCTCCTCCCCCACGTGGATCTTCCAGACACAATCTTCACCTTCCACATAGGGCTCTGGCCAGTTTGGGGACAGCACTACTCCAGCCACGGCAGAGAGCTCCCCACCACACATGGCTGCAAGAGACCCAGACGGACTTTATTCATAAGGAAGCCGATATGGCACAGAGGTTAAGAGAGTATGCTGTGAAGTCAGACATTCGTGGCTCTGTATACCGTGGACAGGTGCCTTCACCTCAGGCAGTCAATACATGTGTGTGGGATGATTCAGTGAAGTTTGGCCATCTGCCTCCTCCTTTAGCTGAGGATTGGCAAAGTCTGGGATCAGACACTAGTTCCTTCAAGACCAAGTACAGAGCATGAGGAAACCAGTTTTTCAGGACCAAAGACAGAGCTTAAGCAGCCAGTTCTTTCAGGACCAAGGACAGCTCTTGAGAGGCCCGATGAATCCTGCGCTGCTGTGGTTCTTGCGCAAGGTGAGCTGAGGTTGAGATAATATACTCAAGTCAGAAAGACTTGAGTTCGAATCTTGCCTCTGCCACCAGAGTCTGTCACTACAGATAAGGCACATAACCTCTCAGAGCCTCAGTTCCCTTCCTCTATAAACCTGTTGCCGTCAAATTGAATCCAACTCATAGCAACCTTACAGGACAGGGTAGAACCACCCCATAGGGTTTCCAAGGCTATAATCTTTATGAAAGCAGACTGCCACATCTTTCTCCCAGGGAGCAGCTGGTGGGTTTGAACCACCGACTTCTCTGTTAGCAGCCAAGCGGTTAACCAGTGTGCCACCAGGGTTCCTCCTTCCTCTATAGAGTGGCAGAAAAACCACTACTGACCACCCTGGGTTATTCTGAGGCTTAATTGAGCCTGTGGATGTCAAACTCGCTGCACAGTTCCTGGCACATGGTAAGTGTTCAACATCTTAGCTAGCATTATTATGAAAGGCCCCAACCCTGAACTGGAAGCAGAGATGTGGTCGTGGCTGGCACCTGGCCCTTTAAATTCCACTCTGTGTTTACTGCTTTGGAAATTTCTCAATGTGGCAGAGGCCAAAGCACCAATAAATTCCGCTCTGTTAAACCAGCACATTTAATACAGGGATCTATCCCCTACCACAAAGAGGCTGTGATTTCACATGACTGGTATCCAGGTGGTGGCTGCCAGATGTGAGGGCTCCCATTCATTACTCTACATACCACCCACCAGGAGATCCAGGCTCATGGGGGCTCAGTGGCCTTGAATGTGAGGAAATGGGGAGTGCGGAGCACAGGCCATGTGAATGAGGGTTCTACACAGCCAACATTGTACAGAGGGCTCAGAGCGCAGGACACTGAGAACAAAGAGACCTGGGTTCCATTTCTGCCTCTGCCAATTACTCTCAGTGTGCTCTTAGGAACGTCACTCCATAGCCTCAGTTTCCTCATCTGTAATGGGGGCCAATAATAATATCTACCTCATAGGATTTTGGTGAGGGTTAAATCAGTTAATGTGCTTGGCAGAGTTCCCATAACATAGTTATTGCACTCTTAATAACAACTATTACTATTGTTGTCATCATTGTTAATTAGACCCAGTTCTGCCATGTGTTGTTGGGTGGGTTGTGCACTGCACAAGGATGCATAGCAGAGGGGTAACTAGAAGGTGAAATCCATGCAGTTATCTACTCATCCAGCTGTGTACTGTGAGGTGTATGCCTAGAGAAAGGGGACTCTTTTAAAATCTATCCATTCTGTAATTTGTCCAGGGGCCAGCAGCAGCCCTGATCCAAAAGACAGTGAGCCCTGGAGAGGGTTCTAATCCTTAGAGTGGTTATATAAACTGGTGGCATGCCGCTAAGCTGGAAACTTGGGTCTTCTCACTTGAGGGGCAGGGGTCTCTGGGGACTGCTCACCTCTGCACAGGGGCTCTGTGTCATTCCAGTAAGGGTCCCGGACATTGATGCACTCGATGATGGCCGGGCCCTGCTCCAGAGAGTGGCCGGGGTCACAGGTGAACTCCACTATGGTCCCGATGTTATAGGTCAGGTCAGATGTGGTGAAGTTCCCATTCTGAATGTAGGGCTCATAGCAGTGGCCTTTCTCGAAAGCTGAAGGGTGGATACAAAAGAGACAGCACGTCAGATGAGTCAGTGTACACCCCACGGTGGTAGATTTCAGAAGATGAGTCTCCACTTGTCGTTTGGGAAAGATCCAATGAAAAAGACTACCAGACCAGGTGTTCTAGATCCACCTGACAAGAAGAGAGTCCTTGAGCCATTCACTTGGCTTTTTGAGGGCTCATTTTCTTCATCTGTAAAACAGGAATAAGAACCTCTTCCCTCACAACCTTGCAGAAATTGTTTCAGCTCCTCCCCATATCAAATATACTTACCCCATGTTCCCTACCCACAGAGTCTTGATGTCTGCCATTTGACACCATAATATGAGAAAGAGCAACTTTTCTTGCAGAAGCCAGAACAAAAAGTCCCCCAAGGTACATGAAATACGCAGGAGGACCTTTTTTTCAAGGGTCAGGGGCTGAGTGGGAGAGGCTTTGCCAACTCTTCTTGGAGGAAGAAGCGGCTGGACTCTACGAGGTCTCAATGGGTAGAGTATAGCAGAGCTTTAGGGCAAGAACTTGGGTTAGACAGAAATCATAGCTCCATTCTTACGAGCTGGTGGGCTTGGGTAAGTCACCCAAATTCTCCAAACCTGTTTCCTCATCTAAAAGTGGAAATAATAGCAGTTGTCACCTTGCAAAGTGGTGGGGGTCAAATGGCCAATGCAAGAAGGCATTCGACACATAATAAGTGTTCAATAAATGGTACACATTGTTATTCACAAAGTCCAGTCTGTCTTTGGAAGTCAAAGGATCAATTTGGCCACTGGGTCTACTCCCTCATCACCAGTCCTGATTTTTATCTCTCGGGACCCAGCCCAGTCCTGCCACCCTTCCCATGCTTCCATGCCACCACCTTAGGAAGGGAGGCCCCCAAGAACCTTCACCTTCAAATCGGATGTTGAAGACTGAGGTCACCCGGGCCTGGTCAGATGTGAACTCGATGTTGATGGTGTTACCGTCACTCAGGAGGCCCTCGAAGGGGACGCTCTCAGTTTGAAGGGAGTCATAGAGAAGAGCTGACTTGTTGGTTCGCCCACTGTAGACCACCATTCTGACAGCCAGGGAAGGAAAGGAGGGAAACTGAGAGATCTTGCTTGAGCCACTGCCATGCAGAGCAGCAGGAAGAGCGTGGAATGGATACTGCTTCTGGAGTCTCATTCCTGGGTTCAAAACCTGACTTTAACCCTTGCTTACCTGGGCAAGTTACTTCACCTTACTGAACCTGGTTCCTCTTCTGTAAAATGGAGTTAAATGTTTGCCCTGGACTACTCATGGATTTGTTTTGAGATTATAGGGAAAGTGATAGTGACATGTAACGAATCATGATGTAATGAACCACACTAATTAAATGTGCTGATTATTATTATTATTAGCTGAGGAGTTGGGAATAATAGGCCAATATCACTCCTGAAACAGTGGCATATATAGTCAGGTAGACCTGGGTTTGAATCCTGAATTTGGACAAGAACACCTAACCTCTCTGAACCTCTGTTTCCTCATCTGTAGAATGGCTACCAAACCAAAAAACCAAACCCGTTGCCGTCGAGTCGATTCTGACTCATAGCAAACCTATAGGAGAGAGTAGAACTGCCTCATAGGATTTCCAAGGAGTGGCTGGTGGATTCGAACTGCTGACTTTTTGGCCAGCGGACCAGCTCTTAATCACTGCACCACCAGGGTTCCAATATGCGTACAGTCGTACCTATATCAGAGTGTGGGAATAGAGCCAAAAACCAGTTGCCATTGAGTCGACTCCGATGTGTGTCAGAGTAGAGCTGTTTTCCATAACGTTTTCAACCGCTGATTTTTTGGAAGTAGTTCACCAGGCCTTTCCGAAAGTACCCAGCACAGAATAGGTATGTAAATCAAATTTACTAAACATCTTATTTTCTTAGAATTTTATTTTTTTGTCGTACTTTAAGTGAGAGTTTACAATTTCAAGTTAGTCTCTCATACAAAAATTTACACATACATTGTTACGTGACCCTAATTGTTCTGCCTATACTGTGACAGCACACTCTTCCTTTCCACCCCTGATTTCCCGTGTCCATTCAACCAGCTCCTGACCCTCTCTGCCTTCTCATCTCACCTCTGGACGGGAGCAGCCCATTTAGTCTCATGTATCTACTTGAGTTAAAAGCACACTCTTCACAAGTATCATTTTATGTCCCATAGTCCAGTCTAATCTTTGTCTGAAGAGTTGGCTTTCTGGAATGGTTTTAGTTCTGGGTTGACAGAGAGTCCGGGGCCATGCTTTCTGGGGTTCCTCCAGTCTCAGTCAGACATTAAGTCTGGGCTTTTTACTAGAATTTGAGTTCTGCTCCCTACTTTTCTCCTGCTCCATCAGGGACTCTCTGTTGTGTTCCCTGTCAGGGTGATCATTGGTGGTAGCTGGGTCCCATCTAGTTCTTCTGGTCTCAGGCTGATGCAGTCTCTAGTTTATAAACATGTTACTTTAAAAAAAAATAGTTTATCATGTTTTTGGTGAAAGTTTACACAGGAAATCACGCTCTCATTTAACGAGTTTGGTTTGGTTTTGGTATACATATTGTTCAGTGACATTGGTTACAGTCTTCACAATATATCAGCATTCTTGTTATTTCCATTTTGGTTGTTCTGTTTCCATTAATCTAGCTTCCCTGTCCCCCCTAGCCTTCTCATCTTTGGTCTAGGGTAACAAACATTTGACTTTTATGTAAATCATACTTACCAAACATTTGAAATTTACCTAACAGGCCCCATCTCTGATCCTTATTTCCTAAAAGCACTGTGTGGGGAGTCAGGAGTCCTGACTTCTAGTCCCCAATCTCCCACAGACTTAGTTTACATAAGCATCAAAACATCCTTGAGCCTCTGTTTCCACGACCATGAAAGGAGGCATCATAATGTCTTCCCTATCTACCTTATGAGTAGGGTTTGAGGATATGGCAAAATAAAGCCCCCTGAAAAAGAAATGCGTTAGACAAATGTTGGCTATTCATTTTCTTTAGTCATAACCCCTCTATTTCATGACGACTGCAGGACTGAATTTCATATGTATATAGTGAATTTACAGGTCTTAATCAGAAGAACGAGGAGCCCTGGTGGCGTAATGGTTAAGCCCCCAGCTGCTAACTCAAGCTGACAATTCGAACTTACCCAGTGGGTCTGTGGGAGGAAGACCTGGAGGTCTACTCCCGTAAAGATTACAGCCAAGAAAACCCTATGGGGGCAGTTCTACTCTGTCACAAGGGGTCGCTATGAGTCAGAATAGACTTGACAGCACCAAACAACAACAATCACAATAACACTGAATCAGAAACACTTTATCATGCACCTAAAATTGGCCTGGGAAATTTTCTCTTAAATTTTTATCCATTTCAGTTTCACGTTATAGAACTGTACGTATAAGAACACTGTGACATTTGGGGAGACAAGAGTTTCCTAGATTAAGGGAAATCATTTATAGCATCATCCCACTTATCTTGAGGTCACATATCTTACGACTGCAGTTGAGGATCAGGAACTAAGTTACAGGAAGGTAGTTGAGCTGTAGGAGGCCTAGTGGCACAATGGGAAAGCATTTGGCTGATAACCCAAAGGTTGGTAGTTCGAACCCACCCAGTAGCTCCATGGGAGAAAGACCTGGCAATGTGTTCTCATAAAGATTACAGCCTAGGAAACCCTATGGGGGCAGTTCTACTGTCATATGGGGTCTCTGTAAATCAAAATCAGTTCGATAGTACCTAACAACAGTTGAGTTGCGGCGATTCATTTTTTTCTTGGCTATAATCTTTACGGAAGTAGATCAACAGGCCTTTCTTCTGTGGCTGCTGGGTGAGTTTGAACCACCAAACTTTAAGTTAGTAGCCAAGAGCAAACTATTTATGTCACCCAGGGACCATCGTGGTTATTCATTTTTACTGTCATGAAAACCATTTGATACTTGGCTTCTTGCTAGTCCCAGTCTTTTGAAAGAAAAAAATGCGAAAGTTGGGAAAAAACAGTACATGAATTGGATGAATTTATTTATGGGGTCATAAACACGCATTCTTAATCTTTTGAGGTTTTTTTTCTTTTTTTTTTTTTTTACTGTGACTTATGAAAGGGTTTATTCTCTATTGCCCAGAAGAATTTCTAATGTTACCAAGATGCGTAAATGTTGGAGCCACAGTTTGTTCATTTTACCATGTGCTCGTGTGGTTGAGAAGGGGTGCTGGGGTGGAGGCCTTGACCTGTCCCAGGAGTGGGGAGTGGCATCTCCACAGTGTTCTGATTCCTACTGACTCTGTTTTATCTTAGGGGCTGAGGGCCAGGACTCATCTTTCAAAGAATAGAAGCCTTTGACAAAGCAAGTGAGTAGTTCAGGGGGAAAACTTTAAGATCTCAAAATACCCATAGTTTATTAATCTCCTAACATAGCAATTTTCTAGCTATGTTGCCTAGAATGCCTGCAATAGTAATACATTTTACCTCAAATCCGTATGTAGTCTGTGGTCCAATGAGTTTGGGAAATGGAGGGTTAAACAAAAATGAAATGGATTTTTTCCTGCAGGACTTCCAGTGCCTTTGCCAGTAAATATACATTAGGACCTTCCAAGATGGAGATAAGATATACAGCATCTCCCAAACATGTTTGACCAGAGAATCTACCTTTTATGGTGCATATTATGGAACTGGAGTTTGAATCCCAAATTTGACCTGGGTTTAAATCCAGAATTTGGGCAAGAACACTTAACCTCTCTGAACCTCTGTTTCCTCATCTGTAGAATGGGTATCAAACCAAAAAACCAAAAGCCTTCCTTTTGGGGAAAGTCATCTTAAGATCTTCCTTCACTATGTCACACCTTTACACAAAACCCCTTCATGGATCACTATTGCCTATAGAAGCATCCTGGCATTCAAAGCCCATCAGGCCATGACCCCAATTTCCATCCCAGCTTTATTTTCTCTTGCTTCTGCGGAGAACCTCTGGCTCAGTCCCCAAACAGGCACGCTAATTCTTTCCTCTACATCTTCATTCTTCCTCTGCCCTCTCTCCTCCCCCATTCTCCTTGTTTGGGATACTCTTCCCACTGTAATTTTGGGCTCCCTCATCCAATGTCTTTTCAAGGTCCACATCAAAGTCTCATTCCTTATGTAGAGCCTTCTCTAGCTGTACATTCTCACAACTGATATATTGTGGTGTTTTAGCTGTTTTTTCCTCAATAAAGTACAAGGGAAAGATAAACTTAATTTGCCTTTTCTCCTTAGCACGGTGAATGTCTTCATGTTTTGTGTGTATTTGACCTTTAATCTTGGTGAACTAGGGCAAACCTCTGTCCCCACTGACACATTTGAGAACTAGTTTTCTAAGGTAATTGTCAACACATACCTTTCTCAGACCTATGGAGAGCCTCAGAGAAACTATTAGCGAACAGTGTCTCTTTGGCCCATTTATCATGTTTTAACTAATTTTCAGAAAATTCTCATTTTGACGAACTTCTTTTTCCCTTTCTGTTCATTCTTGCTGTTTAGTATAAACTTAAACTTGATTTATCCCAGCATCGTTCAGAAAAGGCAACCTTGAGCTCCAAGGTTTAGAAAGCTTCCTTCACCAAGAGTTTCCAGATCCAAGTTCTTCTCAGTGAAAGTCTCCAGGGAGAAGGATGGGAAATTTGTTTTTTGAAGAGTTCCTCAGGTCATTCTGATGCTGACCTTTTACCCTTTAATACTGTGATTTATTGATGTGGAGTTGTTCAGTATAAAGCCAGACTTCTTGGAGGGAAGTGGACTAAACAGTTGGATGAAAACCAAAAAACCCAAACTCATTGCCATCCAGTCCATTCTGACTCATAGCAACCCTATGGGACAGAGTAGAACTGCTCCATAGAGTTTCCAAGGAGCAGTTGGTGGATTCGAACTGCCGACCTTTTGGTTAGCAGCTGAGCTCTTAACCACTGCACCCCCAGGGCTCCAACAGTTGGTAAATGATTCAGTTATATTGAAATGATTTGATGATCTGGTGTTTTCTTTCTTATATGGTGAATTCTTTCCAGTCTAAAGAGTTAACATTCAGGATTTGAAGCTTCAGTGAAGTCAGCTTGCTAGAACTCTAGAATCAGTCTGTCAGGTTCCAGAACTGTAAGGTTCTGAGATTCTGGAAGTGTAGTCGATATTGTCAGTGTCATGTACCTGTATCCCCTCAGCACTCACTGTTTCCCACATTTGCTGCTGGCTTCCTACACAAAGTCTCAGAGAATGTTTTGCCTGAGGGCTTTCCCTGGTCATTGGTACATGCTCAGCTAGTACAAAAGGTAGTAGAAAAATTTGAGGAGTTAGTGTGTCCAGGAGAAGCCCTCATGCAATGATGGATGGGAGTTGGTGGATAAATACCCCAGTTCCCCCACTTCTCCAATAGGACCACTCTGAGGCATGCTCAACCCAGTCTCCCAGAGGCCCCGAGTGGATAAAGCCCCAGTTGCCCACAGCAGTCACTGCTCATTAACATATACTGTATTGACTTCTCTTCGCCGTCTCCTACCAGTGCTTCCTAGGATCATCTCCCAAATAAACTACTTGCCCTCACATCTTTGTCTCCTTGTCTGTTTCCAAGAGAACTCAACCTAAGACAGCAAATCTAGGCTTCTAAGATCAAAGCTGTCTAGAATATTAAACTTTTAAGATTATGCATTCTATGCTTAATATTTAGAATCCACAAACATGCTCTTGCTTAGATAACTGCCTTATAATGTCTCCCTAGGTCTTTCATGTGCTTAACTCTAGTTTCTCCATCTCAACTTCCTATCATGTTGTTGTTGTTAGGTGCCGTTGAGTCAATTTCAACTCATAGCAACCCCAGGTGACAGGGTAGACCTTCCCCATAGAGTTTTCTTGGCTGTGATCTTTTCAGGAGAAGATCACCAGATCTTTCTTCTGCAGAGCTGCTAGGTGGGTTCGAACCACTAACCTTTTGGTTAACAGCTGAACACTTAACTGTTGCACCACCAGGGCTTCTTTTGTCCCAGGAACCAATGTTCTCCACTTCCTTCCTATTTATGGAGCCTAATGCATGGCTGGGCACAGATCAGGTGCCCAATAAACACTCCCTCCTGTTTCAACTGCAAAAAGGGATGTGCAGGAGATAGAACAGGTAGTGCAATGTGGCAGGAAAGGGGACCTTGATTCCCTTCTTGCCTCTTCCCTTGCCCTGCTGTTTAACCTGGAGTAAGTCCCTTTCCCTCTGTATGCCGTAGCTTCCCCATCTGTAAAAGGAAAAGACTGGAGCTTAAGAGCTTTCCAGCTCTTCCTTTCTTGACCTCCATGAGCCAAAGTTCAGCCATTTCCAGACTCCAAATCTCTAGCCACATACTAATCCTCTGGAAGGGAAATGGGCTGAGTGGGGACCCTTGGAGGCTTACCTGTCCTTCTCATTCAGCGACAACCTCTCAAAGTGCAGATGCAGTTTCTGGCCCTCTGGGGCTTCGATGGTCCACACGCAGACCTGGCTGCCATTGGTGTTTCCAGGGTAACTCGGGGAGAGGACACGGCCAATGGTGGCATTGTGCACTGCCCCTCCACAGGGGGCTGGGTTGAGAAAGTAGAAGTGGGTGGGGGATGGGGAGAAGCAGAGAGAGAGGAAGTGAGCGTTTCATCTTCCCCTGATCCCACCCTTAGCCCTTGTTTTTGTTAGCTACTGTTGAGTCATCCTGAGTCATGGCAACCCCACGCACAATGGAACAAAATGCTGCCCGGTCTTGCATCATCCCCATGATCAGCTGTGGCTTGGACCATTGTGATCCATAGGGTTTTCGTTGGCTGAATTTTGGAAGTAGATCACCAGGCCTTTCTTCCTAGTTCTGTCTTAGTCTGGAAGCTCTGCTGAAACCTGTTCAGCATCATAGAAACACACAAGCCTCCACTGACAGATGGGTGGTGGCTGTGCATGAAGTGTTTTGGCTGGGAATTGAACCCAGGTGTCCATCATGGAAGGTGACAATTCTACCACTGAACCACCACTACCCCTGCCCTTATCTAGGGTGAGACTCCTGAGAAGTAGGCGAGGAGACGGAGATGATAGAAGAGCTTCTCCTACTGGGGAGGGGTTCATGTCATCCTGTTTGACGGGAGGTCTCCCTCCATGATAAGACCCATCAACATGTGTGTTTCATGGTAGGGTATGACTGGGGTTTAAGGACCCTTCCATGGTGCTGGCTGGGTCCTGGTTCTTAATTATAAACTGATAATGAAGAAGGACATAAATAGGCAGTTCACAGAAGAAGAAATTTACATAAAAAAGCACTAAAAAATACAGCCTCACTAGTAACAAAAGAAATACAAATCTAAATGACACTCCATTTTCATCTTCCTAATTGGTCAAGATAAAAAGCAACAATAAAATTCAGAGAAGGCAGAGGTGAGGGGATATGGTCACTCTCATTCACGTATGGTTAGAATGAAAATTGCTATGATCTTTCAGAAGGGCAAATTGGTGAAAAGTCTAGAAAATATGTTTGACCCAGTGTTTTAGTTATCTAGTGCTGCTATAACAGAAATACCACAAATGGGTGGCTTTCACCAACAGAAATTTATTTTCTCACAGCTGAGGAGGCTAGAAGTCCAAACTCAGGGCGCCAGCTCTAGGGGAAGACTTTCTCTCTCTGTCTGCTCTGAAGGAAGGTCCTTGTCTCTTTGAGCTTCTGCTCCTGGGCCATCTTCACGTGGTTTGGCATCTCTCTTCCCCCATCTCTGCTCTGTTCGCTTGTTAAATCTTTTATATCTCAAAAGAGATTGACTCAAGATATACCTTACACTAATCCTGCCTCATTAACGTAACAAAGACAACCCATTCCCAAATGGGATTATAACCACAAGGGTTTACATAGTTTTGGGAACATAATTCAATCCATAACACCCAGTAATTATGGGTCTGGGCATTTATTCTGGGAAGAGATTTAGACAGTTACGCAAAGATTTATGAATTCGGATGTTCATTGCAACATTTTTCTAAGAATGAAAAATGAGAAACGACACAAATGTCCACTCACAGACGTTTGGTGAAATAAATTGTGTTCCACCCATATACTGATTAAAACCCAGAATATAAGAAAATACTATTTTTAAGTGAAAAAAAGCAAGCTAGAAAAAGATCTGCCATATCTATTACAAGCTATTTGCAAGGATCAATTGAGACCATGAATATAAAAGTGATCTTCTCCTATCTTTTACACTTTAAATTTCTCGAAATTTTTTTACAAGAACCATGTATTACTTTTATCATAAAAATCTAGTAATGAAATAAAAAGTGATTTGTGAACTGGGAAGAGTTATACAAATGTGAGGGCATATTCTTATTCTTCAGAGATATTTGGTTCTTAGAATTTTTTTTTCAATGTACTGTTTGGGAGAGCTATTCTAAATCTTCCAAACCCAAGGTGAGCTGTGGGCAGCAGGCACTTCTCAGAGAGCTGAGTAGTCAGCCTGAGAGGAAGGGTTGTGAAATGCACCAAGGGTCACAATTAGGCAAAGCTTAATACCAAGACAAGAATTCCAAATCCTGAGAGCCATCTCTCTTAGGGGGATCAAAGAAGACTGAAAATTCGTCTTTCCCAAGGTCCTATTGCTCTTTATTCATTTCCAAGGTAATAGAGGGAGATGAGGGGCCCTGGTGGCATACTGGTTAAGAGCTTGGCTGCTAACCAAAAGGTCGTCAGTTTGAATCCACCAGCCGCTCCTTGGAAACCCTATGGGGAAGTTCTACTCTGTCCTATAGGATCACTATGAGTCAGAAGTGACTCAATGGCAACAGGTTTGGTTTTTGGTTTTTTGTTTAGAGGGGGGATGAAGCAAGAGTTGAAGAGGCTGTTTGGAACCCTATCACAGAGGGCTAAAGAACTTGAACTCTACTCTGTGTGCAATATGGAGTTACCTCCTGGCGCCATCTCTCCTCTCCTATAGGTCTCTGCTCAAATGTTACTTCTCATTACTCTTCTCTTTCTCTGGTCAATGTTTCTTCATAGCACTTATCAACAATTAGAAGTAGAACATATGTCTTCGTTTATATGCTTTGTATGTATTTCTCCCTATATAAAATGTAAGCTCCACAAGAGTTGGGACTATTTATTTTTTGTACCATCAGCACCTAGAAGAGTTCTTGGTATGTAGCATGTGCTCAGTAAATACTTGTTAAACAAGCAACAATCATTATTTTGTGAGGAAGAAAAGAAGTTCAGAGGTGTTAAGCTACTTGCTCAAAGACACACAGCTATAAATGCCAGAGCTGGGCCTCAGGCTCAGACTGCCTTACTCCAGAGCCTATTACTGCAGCCACTATTCCACCTGACTATGTCCCATCCATGACAATGTTCCTCTGATCAAAAAAAATGCATGGGACATAAACCAGTACCAGTTGCTGTTGAATTGACTCTGGCTCATGGCCACCCCATGGGTGTCAGAGTAGAACTGTGTTCCATAGGATTTTCAATGGCTGATTTTTCAGAAGTAGATCACCAGGCCTTTCTTCCAAGGCACTTCTGGGTGGACTCAAACCTCCAATCTTTTGGTTACCAGCTAAGCACATTAACCATTTGCACCACCCAGGGGCTCCACAAGGAACCTAGTAGATGCTTTATAAATGTTCGTGAATGAAAAAATTACTTTCCCCAGTTTTTGCACCTCTAGAGTTAGGGTGGACCCCTGGTGGCACAGTGGTTAAGAGCTATGGCGAATTATGGCTGCTAACCAAAAGGTCGGCAGTTCAAATCCACCAGCCGCTCCTTGGATACCCTATGAAGCGTTCTACTCTATTCTGTAGGGTCACTATGAGTCAGAATCAACTTGATGGCAACAGGTTTAGAGTTAGGGTAAAGCTTGGCACATACTGGGTACTCATTAAACATTTGTTGAATGACTGCATAACTGAACGGAGCTTGCAGTAGGTGTTATGGATTGAATTGTGTCCCCCCCAAAAAATGTGTACTCACTTGGCTAGGACACGATTTCCACGTTTGTGTGATTGTCTACCAATTTGTGATCTGATGTGGTTATCCTATGTGTTGTAAATCTTAATCTCTATGATGTCAATGAGGCATGATTAGAGGCATTTATGTTAATGAGGCAGGACACGATCTACAGGATTAGGTTGTACCTTGAGTCAGTCCTTTTGGGATATGTAAGAGAGAAGCAAGCAGAGAAGAGAGGGAGCTCCTACTACCAAGAAACAAGAGCCAGGAGCAGAGATCATCCTTTGGACCACGTGTCCTTGTGCTGAGAATCTCCTAGACCAAGGGAAGATGGATGACAAAGACGTTCCCCCGGAGCTGACAGAGAGAAAAAAGCCTTCCCCTGGAGCTGGCACCCTGAATTCAGGTTTCTAGCCTCCTAAAGTCTGAGATAATAAATTTCTGTTTGTTAAAGCTATCCCCATTCACTTGTGGTATTTCTGTTATAGCAGCACTCGGTAACTAAGACAGTAGGAGAGAAGGGTGGGCAGCCCTCCTCACTGTTCTGAACTCCTCTGCTATGGCAGACAGCAAACACATTGCCGAGAAGTTCAGGACCATGACAGAGCACCAGCTACCTTTCTCTCTCCAGTCTGCCCTTCTGTCTTACAGTTGAGATAGTCGTCTCAAGTGAGCCAGACCTAGGGTCAAACCTTACTGGCGCCACTTATCTTTTAGGACAAGTCACATAAGTTCTCTGAACCTCAAGTTTTGTTGTTGTTAGTTGTCATTGAGTCAGCTGTGTCTCATGGCGACCTTATGTGTAACAGAACTAAACGTTGCCAAAAAGTGCTGTACTTAGTTCAGGACCATGGATAGAGCACAAATTCCATTCCTGTGCCATCTTCATTATTGCTGGTATGTTTGAGTCCATCATTGTGGCTATTGTGTCAATCCGCCTCATCGAGAGTTTCCCTTGTTTTCACTGACCTTCTACTTTACCCTATGTATAGCCCCAAGTTTACTCACTGTAAAATAGTGTTAATAATTCCACCTTCCTTACAGGACTGCGGTGAGAAATTAATGAAATGGTGCCTGTAGAGCGCTCTGCACAGTACTTGGCATGACTAGATGCCCTAAACATAGCCAGTGTTATTGTTCTATGGCTCAGGAGCTGAGGAGACAAACGACTTTGTGCCCGGTTGGGGGCGCCTGCCATCTGTCCTCCCCAACCGGCTGCTCATTCGCTGCTTCTCTGCTCCTTTCCTTGCCTTATTAAGCCGACTGATGGCTCTGTTTGGCTTCAATTTGCCGGCCATGACTCCCCATCCATCTTTCTTAGCACAAATTGGGGCTTAATTTCTCTCTGATTTCACACACAGATAAAAATTAACATGATAGCGGCACAGAGACCAACTGTCCTATGGTTTTTTCCCACATGGTACGAAAAAAGAAAACTCTGAAGGGCCTTGGGGGAAAAATACTTCAACAATTCAATCTGACTTGATCATCAACTCTCATTTGTATTTTGGATTCCACTTGATTATGAACTCCTGGAGGGCAGGAATTATGTTTCATATTATTCCCAGTGTTCTCCTTGTACCTGGCTCATGACTTGGCACATAGTAGGAGCTCAGTTCTACTTTCTAGAGGGAGTCAGACTAGGTTAGCAGGCTGCCTTCAACAATTCCTATCTGGTGACCTTTGGCAAGTGACTTCACCTCCATGAACCTCAGTTTCCTCCTCTGTAAAATGGGAATAAATGGTCCCCTCTATGTAGGATTGCTGAGAGGATTAAGTGTATTCCCTAGTATGGTGCTCAGCACATATTTATTGAGCTAAAAAATGGCAGCAGTCACACCAAAAGCACAAGCAACAAAATAAAAAAAAAAACAGATTAAAAAAATCAGACTTCATCGAAATTAAAAACTTTTGCACCTCAAAGAACACTATCAAGAATGTGAAAAGACAAAACACAGACTGGGAGAAAATATTTGCAGATGGTATATCTGATAAGGGTCTAGTATCCAGAATATATAAAGAGCACTCACAACTCAACGACAAGAAGACGAATAACCCAACTGAAAAATGGGCAAAGGTTTTGAATAGACATTTCTTCAAAGAAGATATACAAATGGCAAACAGGTACGTGAAAAGATGCTTAACATCATTAGTACTATGCAAATCAAAACCCCAAAGAGATGTCACTTCACACCCATTAGGATGGCTGTAATTTAAAAAAAAAAAAGAAAACAAGTGTTGTGGAGGATGTGGAGACATCAGTACCCTCATATATTGCTGGAGGGAATGTAAAATGGTGCAGCCACTATGGAAAACAGTTTGACACGTCCTCAATAAGTTAAACCTTGAGTTACCATATGACTCATCAATTCCATTCCTAGGTAAATACCAAAAATAATTGGAAAACAGATGTTAAAATAAAAACTTGCACACAAATATTCATAGCAGCACTATTCACAATAGCCAAAAGGTGAAAACAACCCCAAATATCCATCAGCTGATGAATGGATAAATAAAAGGTTGTCTATCCATACAATGAATATTATTCAGCAATAAAAAGAATGAAGGTCTGACACATTCCATAACATGGAAGAACCCTGAAAACATTTTGCTGAGTGAAAGAAGCCAGACACAAAAGCCACATATTATATGATTTCATGTATATGAAATATCCAGGACAGGCAAATCTATAGAGACAGAAAGCAGAGTAATGGCTGGCAGGGGCTAGGGGTATGGGAGAAATGGGACATGACTGCTTAATGGGTATGGGGCCTCCCTTTGGGGTGATGAGAATGTTCTAGAACTAGACAGTGGTGATGATTGCACAACATTGTGATTGTACTCGATGTCACTAATGGCAAATTTTATGTTATGTGCATTTTATTGCAATAAAAAGAAAAGTAAAAAATTAAAATGGCAGCAGTCATGTGTGCTGGGAGGAGTCTCTTCCCCCCGGCTGCGTCAGTGGTGATATCTACCCCCTCTTATTTGCCCATCTCCCTGGGCCAGGCTGCGACTCGAGTGTACCTGAGCAGATGGGCTCCGGGCTGCTCCAGTGGGGCTTGGAAGCGTTGATGCACGTCAGTGTCTTGGTGCCCTGGAGCTCATAGCCCAGGTGGCAGTGGAAGTGGGCCACCCCACCCGAGTGCAGGTCCATCACAGTGACATCCCCAAAGTCGGGCCGACGGGGAAAGTTGCAGCTCAGCATGAAGGCTGGGAAGAAATGCAAAGGCAGACGCAGTCATCTCTCAGTGGGGGAGGTAAAGAACGTGACCCACATCCCAGGAGCCCGCTTGTGCTAAGGAGAAAAGACGAGGCCCCTAGGGACTCTGGAAGGCCAGAGGAAGGTATTTTCGTGACTCATTGATCAGATGGTGCTGAAAGCGCCCAGTTAGCACTTTCTCTAGGCTGAAAAGTTCTCGCTCTGCCTAACCAGGGACGTCCAATTTGGGTGTGAAAAATGAGATCTCCATATTTTGTTTAAAGGTCCCTGGGTGGCAACAAATGGTTTGCACTTGACTACTAACCCAAAGATTGGCGGTTCAAACCCACTCAGTGGTGTCTGGGAAGAGAGGCCTGGTGATCTGCTTCTGTAAAGAGTATAGCCGAGAAAACCCTGTGGAGCAGTTCTGCTGTGTAACACACGGGATCACCATGAGTCGGCATGGACTCGATAGCAACGGGCTTGGTTTGGGTTTTCATACCTTGTTTGAGGCCGTCTCCAAATGGACATAGACTGGTCTTGTCCACAAGCATTGGGGGCAGGCAGCATTGCCCAGGTAGACCCAGCTGCATGTACATCTTAACTGTTTGCTACAAATGCAACTTTGATCAGAATTAGAATAACCAACTCTTCAGGAAATGCCAAAGGACGTGAAGGCCTGAAAACAACTGGCCAGGACAAGTTAAGGGCTTGGACTTTGGAGGGAGACCAATATCAGTTTATGTCCTTCCTTTCCCACTTAGAAATTCTGTGACCTTGAAAAGTGGCTTGGTGAAAAGTGGCCCCAAACTCCACTTTCCTCATTTCCTAGTTCCTACTGGTAACGTGGTAAGGATTAAATGAGATAATTCAGAGAAAGAGCCTCTTTAGAACAATGCTTGGGACATAGTTAGCCCCATTATACGAGGAGGGTGGAAGAGTATACGTGGCCATGTTGAGCTCTTCAATTTTCATAAGAGGCTGTTCAATCCATTCTAGCTCCACCTCTAGGTTATGGTCTGAACTCTCCTGCAACGTAAAAGCAAAAACAACAGCTGCCATGGAGCTGATTCTGACTCATGTCGATCCCATGTGTGTCACAGTAGAACTGTGCTCCACAGAGTTTCCAATGGCTAATTTTTCAGAAGTAGATCACCAGACCTTTCTTCTGAGGTACCTCTGGGTGGACTCGAACCTCCAACCTTTTGGTGAGCAGCCGAGTGCCTTAACCATTTGCACCACCCAGAAGCTTCTGCAACGTTGAATACCAGTTCTAATGGGCAGGAATAAATTTAAGCTCGTGGCTCAATATGCTATTTTTTCACTTTTGTAATTAATCAAGATGACAAATATTAAAGAGGTTGTGATGAAATGGGCACTCTTATATGCAGTTACCCACCTGCTTCAGAAGGAAATATAAAAAATGAGTTTTTTCCCAGATAACTGGTCAATTTGGTGTGGATGGGTGGTCCCCCATATTCAGATGCGTGGCTAATGATGCCGCTTTCCATTCAGATATTTTGCCAGCAGGCAAAGACCCAGGGGAGCCCCTGGCTAAGGGGAGGAAGACCTGAGATCATGGGAATGTCTCAAGAGGTGGGGAAATGGGATGACGTAGGAGAGGGGAGAAGGAAGGAAGGAAAAAGAGAATAAGATGGTAAGTATTCAGAAGGAGGGACAGTGGATGGTGGGAGGAAGAGAGGGAAGGGAGGAAAGGAAGAAATAAAGAATAAGAGAAAAGAGAAGGTAAAAAGAAGTGAGGAGAAAGGAAAGAAGAGAAGAGAGGGATGAGCAGAAAGCCAAAGAGAGGACTTTAGAAACAGACAAAAAGGAAGAAAAATTGTAGAGGAAGAATAAAGGAGAAAAGAACCCTGGTGGGTTGGACTCTCAGGGGCTCCATGCTTCAAATTTAGGGGCCCATGAGCTTTGGTGGGAAAAAGTGGCTTGCTTATTTTCATTAACCTCTAACGGAATTGTGATTCCTTCAATCATGAATGTAGGCAACAAACGGTAACATATTGGTACAACTCATGACTTTGTCACCCAGAGAAATCACAGATATTTTCATGTCATAATGGATATCTTGACAGATTCTTTACACTCCTCAGTACTCTGAAATTACAGTAATTAGCAGAATCATCACTAGATGTTACTATTTAATGTATTAGCAAAGAAGCAGGTAGATGATGGTATCAAAGATAAAAACAACATTTTGACAACTGTAGTTAAATATAACTGGTTTCCTTTTGAATTGTATATATTTTTATTCTTTGCTTTGAAAAATATTATTCTGAGAAGGGGTCTATAGGTTTTGGACCAGATGGGGTCCCTGGCACAAAAAGTTTGAGAATCCCTGGCTTCAGAGGGAAGTTGAGGCAAACACCTGCATCTCAGCAGCCCTGGATGACCCTACCCTGGTAGTGCAGCTGGAAGGTGCCAAGGCCGTCCTCCTGGAAGGTCCGGAAGTAGATGGAGATCGTGTTGGTGGGGCTGCGGATTACCTGCCCTTCCACCAGGAGTGTCTGGTTGGCCAAGACTGTCAGGGTGGGGCCGTCCACCCCTCGGATGGAGAGTAGCTCCCCCTCTGATAGGTTCACGCTCTTCACCTGGGGACAGGTAGGGGCAGACAGAGAGAAACTTGGTGTCGTGTTTGAGATAGGGCCCCCACCCCAGGCTTTGAGGCTGCCAATGTGGCACCCTCAACCAATCCAGGCACTGCTGTGTGGCATCCCCAACCAGCCCCAGGCAATGGGACCGACCTGTCCCAGTGGAGCCCTGGAAACCTATGGGTGCTTCTCATCTCCCCCAAGGCTGGGGGACCGAGTGAGACCAAGGTGGGGCAGAGGGGTTACATGGGGCCTGTGGTCTGTGAGGCCCCTAGCTGGGCCCTGTGAGAGAGGCATTGCCAGGGTTCATGAACCTGCAGAACCAGACAGACTTCAATTCCTCTCTGGTTTATTTTAATGCCACAGGCGTTTATTAAGTGCCTATTATGTCCCACATTGGAGCCCTGGTGGCACAGTGGCTAAGAGCTAGGCTGCTAACCAAAAGGTTGGCAGTTTGAAGCCACCAGTTGCTCCTTGGAAACCCTATGGGGCAGCTCTACTCTATCCTATAAGGTCGCTGTGAGTCGAAATCGACTCAATGGCAACTTGTTCTGTGCCATACATGGCACTGAGCTCTGGGGCAGAAAAGCCCAGTGCTGCTGCTGAGGGGCTGAACTTTGTCCTTCCTGTACCAGCCAGAAAATCTTCCCCAAGTCTAGTTCTGAGGAGGTCATACAACCGACCCAGCTCAAAACCTTCGATGGCTTTTTGTGGCTCATCAGAAAAAGGAAAGTATCTGACCTCTAGCCTTGGCCGAGAAGTGCCTTCCACCACGGGTACCAGCCTCCTCTCCTCCCCTCCCCTCCCCTCTTCTCCTCTCCCTTCTCCTCCCCTCTCCCATTTCCCTCCTCTCCCCTCCCCTCCCCTCTCCTCCTCTCCCTCTCCTCCCCTCTCCGTTCCTCTCTTTGACAGTGAATGGGACAACTCCCCGGGCATGTCTCCTTGGTCCACATTAAAAACGACTCCTAAAAACAGGGCAGTCGGCTGGTGGAGGCCTGGCACTAGGGTGACCATCATGGGGAGGGTAATTGCTAGCGTGCCTTTCTCTCTCTCTCTGCCGGGCTCTGGACAAATGCTCTGTGTGCATTATTGTATTTACTCCTCCCGAAACTCTGCAAAGTAGGCACATTATCCCTATTTTATTTATGGGGAAACTGAGGCTCAGAGGGGTAAAGTCCCTTGCTCAAAGTCATGCAGCTTTAACTGGCAGAGTTGCGACATAAAACCTGGGTGTTTGATTCTAGAAACCAAGCCCCTAAGCACTATGCCACCCTGCTTGTTCATTTTTAGTTCACAGGCAAACACTTAATCAAATGAATCTGGTGGGGGTCCCCTGAGTGTGTGTCTGTGTGTGCTTCTGCGTGTATGTCTGTGTGCCTGTGTGTGTGTCTTTGTGTGCATGTGTCTGTGTGTGCCTGTGTGTGTACGTGTGTCTGTGTGTTTGCGTCTGTGTGTATCTCTGTGTGTGTGGACATATGTCTATGTGTGTGTGTGCATGTGTGCACACCTACGTTGATAAGCAGTGTATCAGGGGACTATCCTTCTGGGTGCAATACCTCACAGTATATCAACACATCCCCTCCTTGTGCTCCAAGCTATTTCAGTGGGCACTAAGCAAAGAGGCCAAGACTGAGACAGTTTAGGATGGTAACAGTAAGCCTGACTTAGACAACTGTTCAGGGACTGCCTGCTGACACCGAGGACATCCTTCTGGAGTTACCTGGAGCTCCACCCCGTAGCCAGTGTAGACGGTCACGTTGTACGTGCACTCCAGGAAGTTGTTCAGGAGCAGTGGTGGGTAGTCGTTGGAGTCGATGTACCCTTCGGGGTCCGAGAAGCTCACACTGCAGAGAGCTGGGGGAGGCACTTTCATCAGGACACTGAAGCAGCTCAGTGTAAGCTCCCGGATGCTGTGGGGTGGAATCTGGCCTCCCCTGTCCCCACCCTCCCACTGTTGTTTGTTTCTCTTGTCCCCAGACATGATGGCACAACAATCACGACACAGAATGATCACTTACTACATGCTGCTAGGCATGGGGCTAACCCAGCTACAGGGATGACCCTATTTCATCCTCACAAAAAAAAAAAAAAACCCCAAAAAAACAAAACCGAACCCATTACTGTCAAGTCCATTCCGACTCATAGCGACCCTACAGGACAGAGTAGAACTGCCCCCATAGAGTTTCTAAGGAGCAGCTGGTGGATTCAAACTGCCAACCTTTTGGTTAGCAGACGTAGTTCTTAACCACTGTGCCACCAGGGCTCCATTTCAACCTCATAGGAATGAATATTTTATTCCCATTTTAGAGATAAGGAAACTAAAGCTCAAGGAGCCCTGGTGGCACAGATGGTTGTGCTTGGCTGCTAACCAAAAGGTTGGTGGTTCAAACCCACCCAACGGCTCTGCAAGAGAAAGACCTGGCAATCTGCTTCCTTTAAAGATTACAGCCAAGAAAACCCCTTGGGGCAGTTCTACTCTGTTACATGGAGGTTGCTATGAGTCAGAGTCAACTCTACCGCGCCTAACTACAACTAGCTAAAGCTCAGAGAGGGGCAGTAGCTGGACCAAACACACACAGCAAGCAAGTTGCAGAGCCAGGATTCATACAGCTCATGCTCTGTAATGACTGGCCATATTTATTTGTCCCAAATCCATGCGTGATTGACTAGCCTGTTTGAAGCTGGAAGAGAAGATGGAAGAAGAAAGACTGGGATACCTACGCCCAGGGAAGCATATGCAGTGATAAAAGTGAAATCACTTTGCTAAAGAAATCTGGTTCCAAGACGAAATGGTTTTCAATCCCACTTCTTAGCCTTGTGGCCTTGGGCAGTTTGCTTGACGTTCAGGGTCTCCATGCCTCATCTTTAAAACGGGGATATTAATTCTAAGCATACACGGTCGTGTTCATAGTCAGTGCTCAAAAGATGGTAGTATGGGTTGATGTGTGTTTGCCCTCAACCCCCCAAAACATGCTCAGGTCCTAACCTCTGGTACCTGTGAGTGTGACCTTATTTGGAAATCGCATCTTTGCAGATGTAATTTGTTAACATGAGGTCATACTGTAGTAAGGTGGGCCCTAATGCAATCTGCCTGGTATCGTTACAAGAAGAGGAGAAGAGACACATAGATACAGACACACAGGGAAAAAGGCCACGTGAAGGTGGACAGAGGGATTGGAGTGATGCATCCATCTACAAGCCAAGGAACGCCAAGTGCTGCTAGTAAACACCGTCAGGAAGGATACTTCCCTCCAGGTTTCAGAGGGAGCGTGGCCCTGCTGACACTTCAATTTTGGACATCTAGCCTCTCGAACTTTGAAACAACAAATCTCTCTTGGGTTAAGCCACCCCTC